AACCAAGCAGGAGTCCATGCAGTGGAAGCACAAGGGATCGCCAACGCCTCGCAAATTTCGTGTTCAGAAATCTGCAAGAAAGATTATGGCCACTGTGTTTTGGGACAGCAAGGGACTACTGCTGCTTGAGTTCATGCCAGACAAGTGTACAATCACTGGCGATTCCTATGCTACCACCATGAAAAATTTACACGATATCATCAAGGAAAAACTCAGAGGAAAGTTGTCAAGGTGGGTCCTTCTTCTCCATGACAACGCGCCCGTCCACAAATCATGGAATGTACAGGCAGCAGTGAGGGAGTGTGGCTTTCAGGAGCTCAACCATCCTCCTTACAGCCTGGATCTGGCTCCTAGTGTCTATTTTCTGTTCAGACACTTGAAAAAATTTTTGCGCCGAAACAGATTTTCATGCAATGAAGAGCTGAAAGTTGGTTTGATGGACAAGAAGTTGACTTCTATTCCCAGGGAATAAAATTCTTGGAATCAAAGTGGAATAAGTGTGTTGAGTTAAAATGTGACTACATTGAAAAATAAAGTGTCATTTTTCCCCTCGGATGTTTCTTTCTTATTCAGGTAGATAACTTATTGAGTGACCCTCGTAGATGGCCCCTGCATGCATTATTAATTGGAGATTTAAGCAGAGGCTCAGAGGCAGTCACTCGACAATGAAACTTAAAACGCGTTTTTGTGACTCACGTCACACGGGAACCTCACTCCTTCTATGCATCGGGCAAGAAGTTCCGAGAGCCTCCTGAAGCTAGTTTACGTCTCTCAACATGTTCATTGAGTAGAACGACTTCCTTCCTTCGGTTTGTATGTTGGAAATTATCGAGTTGAGTGTGAAAGCTTCTGCAGAATCTTTCATAAACATTTTAGGAATCGGAAGTCATATAGCGGTGGGATGAGCGCGACCTCGTTCATATTGCGAGAACTTTTTATTTCTTGAACGAACTGAAAGATGTCAGGCTATATGGAAGGCCTCAACGTGCATGCGCTTGTATCCATGGACAGTACATGGGCTGAACAGTTTCCAAATATATTCCAAATACAGTATTTTTTCCGTATAGTTTATATTAGTGTCATATACATTGCAAACCTAGCACCATATTTGGGGGTCTATATATGAACCATATATAGTTCCATATTTAAGAATGACCAAAACATGATACGGACTGAACTATTTCCAAGCAAGGCTAAATTCAGTACTGTACTGTACAATTCTATACATACGCCTGTATTTGGAAGTTCCGTAAGGGAGCCTTGTCCTTTAATCTCATTCCACTCATCCGACGCCCTCCTCTCTTACCTCCTCCCTCCCTTGCCTCATTATTTCTCGCTTTGCAACATCCTTAATCGAATTGGTCTGGATCACAATCACGCTATGGTAAGTGTCGCGAATGTCGGCACTCTAAGCAAATTCTGCACTTCCACCTTGCTTGCTGGTTTGCATAATGGAGCTTCCTCGTTCATAATGGGTCTGGTGATACCTTTATTAGGAATCTTCTGATACCGCAAACCTCGAGTGCCTTTCTTAAACCTTTCATTTCCGAGGGCCTGGGTCAAAGGTGAAGTTGGGTCGGATGTTGGCAATCTCAGCTCACTTCCTAGCATAGATGACACGACCCAGTCGGGAATCTCGGCAGACTTATGTATCACTGTCGTTTACAACTGATCCAAATATGAATGCAACAATCTAATAAAACAATACCTAATGTGGAAGAGAAGAACGGGATGTGCAAAAGCCTAGGAAAACCCGAAGATTTCGCAGAATTCTCGGAGTGTGCTTAGAGAAAGTGACCACTGCTAGAGAACTACAGCAGCAAATAAGGCTGTTCCAAACACATTTTAACAACACTACTCCTACAATCAGTGGATATTTATCTACCTGTGCATAGGGTACTAGAGGTCAAAGCAGAATTTTGAAGATTGCAATTTGCAGAGATTACCAACCAATGCGGACATTCACAGCACATTCCAATTGGTTATAATTTTATAACACCAATGGTTGACACTGGTTCATTTTCACGGGCATGGAGATGTGCATGTTTCTCATCTCGCCCTTTCCTGGGAGAGGAGAGAAGTATGCTACAAGTGGAACAGGAATTTACTGTGATTTCAGTAGGCAGTGACCGATGAAAAGTTTCACTTTCGGCCATTTTCATGGATAATTTTTTATTTGTTGGCAAGTTTTAATTTCGAGTACTAGGCCATTCTCAGAATTTACTTCAAATTTTCCTTCTCATGAGACCATGTTCAAAATGCTAAATTTGCAATTTTTCCATATATGAATCTTTGAATTAACCTAATTTTTGTAAAATTAACCACGCTTCAAAAGGCAACATATTTATACCGCCAATTCTCAGGGTCATAAATATTCGAAAAAGAGGCAAAACGACATATATATATTAAAAAAACGTATTACAAAAAGAAGCCAAATTAAACTCATAGCGCAAGCGTATTTTTTCTTCATTACATTGACCAAAAACTGAAGAAAACGGGAGAAAAAAAATCCTTTTCCTGCTTTTTTTTGCTGGAGATAGTTAACCAGTGGGATGAAGAATTTCATTTTGAATTCAGTGGAAAGAAAATATTTAATAATGGAGAGAAAACCATGAGCCTGTCTTCTGACGTGTCATGTAAGTCGGTGCCAGGTTGAAAAAGAGTCATTTGTGCCCCAAAGAATGGATTGAGATGCAATGACCAGTGTACATGTTCCAATACCAAACAGGGCATACATGGTTGTGCAAAACTGCCTGTATACTTTGAAAAAAAATTTTTTTCCACTAATCAACGGATTTCTGACAATTCGGGTGGTTATTTTTTTAGTCTACTGACTTTTTTTGATACGAAATGTTTTCATTATAGTAACTTTCAGCCTCTTTTTAATAAATTCCTCTGGAGCTATGACACTCAAAGAGAATCGAAGCGCTATCACTGCGCTGCGGAATCAAGTGATGAAGGCTGGAGCGATCGCCAGATCTGAACCCGATGGATTATTCGGTCTGGTTGATCTTGGAAGTAAAAGATCGTGGGAATCCTTTTTCGCAGCACCTAGGCACTGAAGGCGGCTTTGCAACGCGCTTGGAATGAAATCAACGTCGAACAGCTGGTAACCATCATTCGCAACGCTCCAAAGCGACACAGAGAGTGTATCAAGGAGAACGGCGCCAATTTTGAGCACATGCTTAGAATTTGATACGTTTATCTTTTTTCATGTTGTTCCATGCACATAATTATTCAACTAACAAGCTGAGGTTAAGGTTTTTTATTAAAATTCAACTTTATGAATAAAAAAGGAAAGAAGTGTAAGAGAATGGAAAGAAAGTGTACTGGAACTTATGCACGACCCTGTACTTCCATCACGCCGCCCGATCGGGATCAATCACGGGGATGTGTTTTCTTTCCCCGCTCCGTCCTTTTTGTATTTTTCGCATGTAGAGTCCCAATTAAATAATTAACTAATATGATGGAGATTGGCGTTGTGTAATAGGGCAAAACGAAACGCATGAAATAAACCCTCTACTGCATCATACCTCTTTCGTTCCTGTGGTTTACTGATGAATTCAAGCTATGCAGATGCATAAACTACAGAGGAAAAAGAACGAATACGAGTTAATGTGTGGGTAGGAATAGAACTCGGGCTTCTGCAGTCCAACGCTACGTACTAATCATAATACGATCACGGCTACCAAGCTCACATATGAGACAATCTGCGTATTTACATATTTCCCCACATATGACGTGGGGGACAAAAAAACCGTCCCCCATCTCAACCCACTGCGTCGTTTATTCAGGGGCAGTTCTCCAGTTTCACTGGCAGATATATTACAGGGGAGCGCAAGCTCCTCGAATTTCCCTGCCACGTCAGAGATTTCCCCGTCCGAGTCCTTTTGTTCAAAATGAAAAAAGGGCCTAAGATATTTATGTCCGCGGACACTTTGTAATAAGAACGAAGGACAGTCAATATTATTATTGATTCAGTTCTCACAGGAATTCGGGATACATCGATGTCTTGAAAGTCCTATGCGTGTGATTCTTTGACTCATGACACTGAAGTAATATGAACCTTGTGCAACTTAGGCGTAAATTTCCTAATAGCTGCATGGATACAGAAGCCATTTCTTTAAAGTTCTTCTGTGGTCCCTCCAGAATGCTTGCGCGAAGTGCTAGCCCCTTCACTTGCGGTTTGTAGTGTTTAAATTTTGTCATGCAAACGAATATGGGGGAATATGCCAATCTCGATTTGGGGTAATATGGACATATCCCTCATTTCACATTAGCACTGCACTGACCTATTGGATGTGTCAGCTTCGGCGTCATTTCGTCTTGGGCCGGTCCTACTGTGGGAGGTCCGAATATCGTAATGCCACCTAGCCTATGGTCATCCCCGGACCAAATGAGGAAGCCATGCAAAGTTTGGTCGGACTGGGATGAGAGGCGTGGCCGTGCATGAAGGACAAACACTCAGAAATATAGTATATAATAGACCACACCCGCGTACCGCGGGTGATACAATTTCAAGACATAACGATTTCCGGGTTGAGATGAGTTCCAAGGTGAACTACCCACAGAAAGGTGTAAAATATATATCACATGAAAATACTGCATGAATAATTACAGTAATGTTTCACCTGAGAAAGTTGTGGTATGAGTGTTATATTAATGTGTTGATGTTATGATACTTTCTACGTGAGCGTTCTGGAGTAGAGAGACGAAGTGCCCCGCTCAGGCCTTTACGTCTGCTAGCTGCGCTATGACCTACCCAAACATGCACACTGTACTCTAATGATGTTTTCTTACGCCCTTCTGGTCTCATATTCGTGTTCTGGTAAGATATTTTCATCGCAATGGCGCGGTTAGTGGACCTCAACGATTTTTTTCCTGAAAAAATTCTTCGAGAAAAACCCTTGTAGATAGACTAAAAGAGCAACAAATAATCTATTGCGAGATGCAATATCGGTCTGCGTTGCTGAGAATCAATGAATTTCAGGAAATAGTACTCAATGGATTTGGTGGAGTTGCGTTTTGACTTGGACTCCCATCTTCTTTCTCAAAAAAATTTAAATACATATAATGAAGCATAATGATTTTCTCCGCAGTAAGCTTGAGTGAATCTGTTGTTCATTCTGAATGCTTCTTCCTCATATGGAGTATATGTGTAGGGTCAACTCATCTTGAAAATCCAGGATATGACATCCACAGTAATTTTTATTATTGTGTTTTATGTTTTCATATTTTATCGGAAAAAAAACTGGCATCTATAGGTAGTCACAAGGAATGCGAAATTCATAATGCCACCATCTGGGACAGTTCTTCCCTGAGACGTGTCTTGAGAGGCGGGTGCCTCACAGCTGCACACAGAGCATGGCAGCTCTGAAGAAGCTGCCCCAGTTCTTGGTCCCTCCGTTTCACCTTTGACTTCTGAGAGCCAAGGTCTTGCAGAGAGAATAGGATGAACTTCTCTTGGTATTCACTGGGAACTGTGGGGAGGATCTGTGCAAGTTGCAGGATTTGCTTGGCCACTTTGGTGAAGTTGCCCAAAGATGTCCAAGTTTCACCAGAGGCCTCCTAAGCATCAACATTAAAAATGGTTATCTGCCATGTACCCGTTGAACAAATATTTTGAGATGAGGTTTTATTGGCCATTTGGTACTACTATTGAAAAATACCTACAGATATAATTTATGGAGTCATTGCATTTAGCCAAGGGCCAGTAATGGAAAGATCATGACCAAATAGGAGTTAATTGCGCTGTGCCTTAAGAAAAAAAAAAGGGAAATAAACTTTCTGATCTTTGCAATATTAAGTCCAGCGACATGAAAGAAGAAAATCTTGATTTTCTGTATTTCCTTGTCTTGAGAAATATCTTTATCTTTGGCCATTACATCTTCAAATTATCAGACAGGAAATACAATGAGGAATAAAGAATGAAAGCAGAAGAACATTTGTTCCTCCATGATGGGGATCCAGCCAATGCAGCTCATCTCACCTTGAGAAGCATTGAGGCAGAGGTGCATGCATGGTTCCAGAGAGGAAACTGAGGCAGGGAGCTCCAAAGTATCATCAAGTCCATGAACAGCTGCACGAGATTCTCAAAGGAATTCGGGAGAAGGAGCGACCTCCATGTCCCCAGTGGGAGATAGGGCAAGATCTGGAAATACAAAGCCCATATCCTGATGAGAGGTGTGAAATGCCACATGCACATCTATTTGACTTCATTCTGGTATTTTTCACTGGAAGGAGGACCACTATGGGAAGAACACTCTTTAAAGGCAATTGCCTCGTTCTACATTTGGCAACTTTACCTCCTACCTTTTGAAATAACATAACATGGACAATTAATTTTCCTTTACCCAACTTATAACAAACTTAAATGGAAGATTTGAACTGAACAGGAAACATGCATCACATCTTGTGTTTACATTTCTCAATTTCACTTTTCCATTCACTTCAATACTTTCATATCTTCAATTTTAGCCAGGAGAGTGGAAAGCAATATTTCCATAGCATTTATTGCCTGCTGCAATTTGATGTGCCTATAGACCACACTCAAGGCATAATTTTTGCTCTCTGAACACCCTAAACTGACCACAGCGAGATAAGAGGACTCCAGGTGATGAGAGGGTTCTTTATTGGGGCAACACCACAACTGCATCAAGGGATCCAAGGAAGATGTGTCCTTCTCATGGAAAACCCACTTCCCAATATAGGGCAGGGAACCTGGGGCTTGCGAGACCAGCATCTTCCTCACAGTTTCTTGCTGTTCCTCTATAATTTCAAAACAGGATATGAGTAACCAACTCTTATACTCACCTCACTTCTATGAATGAATCATGGAAGCATATAACCATCTAGTATTTTCATTTAATATGTAGCTTAATTAGAAGTGAGCCAAAAATCAGGCTTATTATTGCAAGATTTAAACCAAACTATTAGCTACATAAATCCCCAAGTCCAACGAAAATTTGAAAGTCAACAAATATTGTACAGTTGTTTAAATTTGGCCCTAGAAATGGAAGTCTTGCTACATGAATCATTGATACAAGATGAAACTGCTCTTTCAATACTACTTCATAGAACTCAATAGAAAGATTAATCTGTGATATATAACATAATTGCAGTAAAGTTTATAGCGGCTTATCCAAGCCAAAGAAACACATGGTGGATACAGTCTGCCAACAGCATGACTAAGGTTGAAGGAAAAGAAAGACAATGCAACAACCTGTCAGTTGTGCAGGTGACTCGAGAAGAATCGTAAAGCATTCAATGATGGTTTCTGCAATGTCCAGATCCTGCGTGGTGGAAAAATCTCGATGCGCCTCCAACACTTGTGCCAGGTGACAAACCAGCACAGGGACATCAATCCCATCCAGATCATTGGACCCAGCAGATGACAAAGTTTGCTGGAATGAGGAATCCAAGGGAAGCGATGTTACAATAGACCAATGCATAAGAATTGTGGAGTCCTTCATTCAGCTCAATTCCCACAAATTTTGAAGTTCTCAAAGACTTTCCATCAGAAATTAAATGCGAGAAATGACCAGAGACTCAACAGATATCTCTTAAAGTCAGATTAATACTACAAGATACAAGCAAAATGGGACATTTAACAAGGTTATTCCCTGCTTAGAAGCCCAGAATGGCATCCATGTGACCACTTTCAAAGCCAATCCCTTCCTCAAAGGTAATAATCAAAGTTGTGATTTATTTTCCAATTCCATACAAATAAATTGAAATAGTCCCAGAATTGCATGAAACCAATTCTTGTCCTGCTTAAGTCATGAATGTGAATACAATAAACTGTGTCTCAGCATTCCATAATGCTAAAACTGAGACTTGGCGATTTAGGACACAACTAAAGTGACAAACAGATAAATCAAAAAGGCATTTAAGGAAGTGCTTATCTGTATCATGTCTCTTAACAACACAGCTATAGAAAACAGTAAATGTTAACGAGACATTGAGCTTCAAAAATAACTAGCTATATACACCTATTTATTTCTTGAACTTTAATGAATAAATAAATATATATGGTTGAAATTGTTCAATCAACAAAGCAGATACATAAGAATGTAGCCACTAATTTTTCATTAATGGGTATAATGAAAAAACCAAACTAGAAAACATTTTTTATAGTAATTACCCTGTACTATCATGGTTAGGCTATACTCTAAAATACCTTTAATGTTAAGATAATTATGACCACAAATGAAATAACAAACCTGTTGTAAATCACTCTACCCTCATACATTCAGCCAATCTGGTAATATGCACCTCATGATTGAAATGATTGTTTGAACTGACCACTTGGTAAAGGTGACTCACTTGCATTAGCTGCACAGCAAGATCATCATGGAGCCTCAAATCAAGCAGGGGGAGGCAGATGCAGAATAAGATTTGCCTCACAGAGACCAGTTCTTCACCGAGCAAAAGCGAATTGAGGTCTAGGAAGCTCTTTCCTTCAGATGGCTTCAGGGTCTGACCCAGTTCAAACACATGAGAATCAAGCAGAGTCTTCTCAACGACAATGTCGCTGCCACTCAGATTCGGAATGGCAATTCGGTCGCTCTCGTGGGAGCAGACGCATCTGAGGTCCTGCAAGACCTGGCCGAGGATTTTCAGTTGCATGCCGGTCTTCAATGTCTGGGCCAAGAGGGCTGAGATAACTTTTTCTGGGTTTTGAAGGGCCAGAGTGAAATGAACCAGCTGAAAAACAAAATTACTAGAGGTTAAAAGAAACTCTGAAACAAGGAAAGAATAAAATAAATGATAAGGTATAACATTTTCTTTAAAAAAAACAGGAATAGGATCTTTTAAGGCCAGAAATAAGAACTCCTAGACACATCCCATCCTTCTCCTCCCCATTTTCTTAATTTGCCTATTGTATACTTCAGAAACTTTTCCAACAGGATTTTTATTGATAAAACCCTGACACTCTTGTAAAAGATATTCATAACGAGAGATAGAGAAGCCCCTCTCCCACCTATGAATCTTAGGCACTTCTGCTTTTCACTTGCCAAGGCTTTCAGCAAAAATTATGAATCATGATGGATTATGGGTTCTCTCTTATTGTCCCTCTTTATAGATACTCCAATATTATTCTAGATTCACCATTCACTGATTGTTTCATGATGAGACTAACTAGTCACCAGCTTTTAGGAAAATCAAACTTTTATTGTTGATCCAGTGACCAGAGTTACTCCTGATACTTGAACATATTTCCCAAGACCAAACACTTTCCCCTCAATTATCACTGCATTGATATCAACACAGATGTTTTCCCCTGTGATTAAATTGCATTTGAATAGAGAGAGCCAGAATTAAAATTCATGTAGCATTGGGATAATGAGATGAAGATACAGTCCATATTAATGCAATATGACAAAATCTGGCTGGAAAATTAATTTTTCATAGTTTGCCTCTCTTATGGATATGAGAGATGGAATCCTTTGAGTATCATTGGCAATAAAAAAAGCATTTCCCTCACAGCTGTGGAAACAAAAATGCTGAGAGCCAAGGATGAACTCAGGAATGAATCCATTTCTTTTGGAAGGTTTCGGCAAAAACATTCAAATGTAAATTTTTAAATCCATGCCAATTAAACATCTATATGCTCCTTAATTTTCCATTCTTGAAAACTTCAATCAGTAACACTGGTTATTGAATCAATTGGAAAAAAGAGAGAAATCAATTATTACTTGATGACACAATGCTCCATCTTTACAAATCTCTACCTTGAATACTCACTCAAATCATTGCAGTTTTAAGGAAGTAGCATGGGCTTATATTCTAAGAAACCCAGAATGGCATGACACTCATAAAAAACTGAAGCATGCCTGCATATTAGCAAAACTCATTAACTTTACTCATAGAAGACCACATCAAATAAACCCTGATAGGGTGAACATTACTTTGGAGCATGAAGAGTCAAATCTAGGTCACCCATGTCCCACAGTATTATACAGATAACACTTAGACACACAGATTCGACAATTTTCCCTCCAATATTGTGGAAACCGGTGACATGGGTCCCTCAGGATGCTAAAAGCAACATGTAGTCATTGTGCCATATATTCATTTAGGATAACCTAATTTGCTGCCTTCAAGTAATTTCATGAAATAAAACAACAGTGTAATGTCTCATCTAGGTAATTTTTTCCCCTAAGGTAACTATTTGAGCATCAAGGACAAAATCTGTGTTTCACCTCACCTCAGATTTCATGTCAACCTGTGCACTCATCTGATTGAGTGCTTTCGTCAGATTCAAGGGAAAAGCTTTGGTCTCCAGCCCGGTTTCCAAACCGTGTCGACTGACGAACTCTTCCAGGATTCTCCTCTGGTCTTCGCCTGGGAAGCCCATCATAAGACGCAGGGACAACTGTGATGTGCAAAAGGATTTGCAAGGGAGAGATGTAAGCAACAGAGAATATATAGAGGGCAAATTCCTTAAATTAGGATGGAAGTCTTCATTTTAACTTTTGCACTTTTGGGGCATGGGTTGAAAGATGAAGAATGAAATGAAACGTTTTAAACATCCACAAAATGAATGCAGCTACCTAAAAGCCCAAGCGGGTATCATATCTGCAGCATTTATATTCAGATGACAGTGGTACCTTTCCTGAAACAAAAACACAATAGGAAACTAAGATTTGCCTTTAACCCCTTAACTATGTCACTTCATCTTGCTAATCCTACGGCATGCCAATCCTTCCCTAATTGATATTTATTTTGGAAAACCCAGACAATGTAGGGCCTAATTGCAAAGCTCGCATGGCAAAGGGGCTAGTTACCATGATGCATGAAACAAACCTGACACTTTTTGCAGACAGGTTTCATTGCCTCCCAAAGCCTACTCATGCACCAAAATTAATTTCTAACTTGTCTTCAATCTTCAAAGATGCAGATATCTTGACATATTGAAATTGATTGCATAGTCCAAACCCAAATGAAAGACTCGATAGGCATCAGAGAAAAGGAGGGGTCCACCGACGTGCTTGAGCTCGTCCGCATCCTGGTTCCGACACCTTTGAAGGAGAGTCCCGAGGCCCTCCAGGGATATCAACTCCCCACAACCCTGCAGGAATCTGCAGGCTTCCGTCTCGCTCAACAGTTGTTCGTGGCGAACCAGGGCGTGCAGGGCCTCGGAGGAGATGAAGCTCCTCGGACTGATCATCCCCATCAGCTCCTCCACTGACATGCTCTGCACTTCTTTCACCTGTTGAACAATTAAAAATTAAATAAAAGGTAAACACTTACAGCAAAAGTTAAAGCTGTCAACTGTTGGTGATGAGGGAGGGCTGCCACCCTCACATATTGCCAACCATTTGATGTGGACATAAATCCCAATAAGCTTATATATTGCAAAATTTAGATAAGTTGATGAAGACAAAAAAATGAACATACAAATACTAGTGTAGAACATGATATGTTGGCAGTTTGGACATTGGACATGATGGATCATCCCTTCTTAAAGGGTTACGTACATTCAAACACGAACAATTTACATTGATTCATAATAGTGCATGAAAAGCAAGTGTCCCATTCACAGATAAGCTATTGTGGTGGCTCAGATACAATGTCTGATGTTTTTCATTCAACAACTTCTCTGCACTTGATTAACAAAATACAAATGATAGAGGTATCTAAAATTAATTCTCCGGTGATGCAAACCAGTTAAATAGACATCGTGACAAATTCATTCACCAGCATTCTTGATTGCATTTTTAAACTGTTGCTAGGATGCCGACAGTACATAAACTCACATTCACAAAGTTTCCATACATGGAGACAAGGCACTTCAGGTCCTGAGGGGGGAAGGAGGACTTGATGACAGGCACATTGAGAAGAAAATGAAGAGTCTTGTGCATATAATGACAGATCCCAGACTGCAGATTCTCCCAAGGAAGGTCCTTCAACTCAACTTCCCCCCATTCCAACCAGTGATTCATGGTGACCTGCTTTAGTGTTGCAATTATTACAGACGAGACCAAACTGAGCATTGCTTGTGATAATGTTGTTTGAGTTTCCTCTGGAACTGAATTTGTTTGAAGAAAGCCTCTTTGGGTGAGATAGAATCGATCTCGGTACGTCCACAGATCATCCTCTTTGTCATGCAGAGGCCTTTCTTCAGATGGATGATGAGGAAATTTACCTATGAAAAACAGCTCTAAACTCTGGCAGATCAATTTGGTAAGTTGGAAAACGAGGATCCCCCTCAAGAGCCCGACGTTGCGTTTCTGGCCGACGAGATTCCGCCAGCTCTCCAGCAGGGACGCGAGAGGCTCGGTCGAGTCCGTCCTTCCCCTCTGCAGGGAGTGGGCATGAAACCTCAGGAACTGCGCCTCGACGGCGATCTTTGCCGACACGTCTTCGACGCGGGAGAGGCTCGGTCCCAGGTCCCGCTCGACTTTGAGTCCCGCATCGTGGGGGAGGCAGAGGAGGAAATCACCGAGACGGTCGCAGAGGGAACGGTCTCGGATGAGCTTCAGGTACAGCGGCGAGGGGATCGTCGGGAAGACGTCACGGCACGTGGCCACGAGCTCCTCGTTCCAGAGATGGGAGAGAACGGGGGCAAGTGAAGTATGAATGATTAGAAGGAAGTGCAGGTCGTCCTCTGGAATCATTGAGAGGACTTTAGACTCGGCTGCAAAAGCTTCTAAGACATCATTCTCCTGGTTGAGTGACACCTCTGCAGCTCCTGTGCGATTTCCAAATGATTAGGAATGAATAGCTTGACAAGCAATGGAGTCTCCTTTGTACCATTACGTCAAGCATCAAGTACAATAATTGTTTAACCAACATTTGGGAAGTTCAACATAAATAAAACATAAATGCAAGGACTGACAAAAGGCCTTGTTACTCAACAATAAGGATCGAATTCCTCTCACCTCTAGCAGCAGATATGAAGATACCCTGTAAGGTAGCAATCTTCGAGGAAAATTCCAGCGCTTTCGACATGATTAGTACCAGTCGGAAAGCCGAGAACATATGAAAGACACACACGCGCCACACATGTGCTCAGCAAGCGTCCATGACAATTGAAGGGCTGCAATATATTTTTCCTGTATTCTTTCCTTCTTTTAGTAAAAACGTGCTAAAGCGATAGAGAGTAGCCAGGCAACCTCATATATAAGTTGTAGAAAATTGAAATGGTCCATATATTCTCAAAATATTTGGGATTGAAACAGGCTCATATACAGAGGTACACTGAAGGGCAAACAATACGAGTGACATCATGAGCCCCCAAAGATGGCAGCGTACATTAGCAGAAGCATATTAGGGCTCGAGAGAGTCGCAGGAGTGTTAAGGAATCCCAAGGTGAGCCTCGCCCTCCACCCTCCTTTTTATCGCTCTCAGTCTCGTTATTATGAGGTTATCCTTCGTCCTCAGGTGATCCAGGCGACGTGCTGCGTGGCGAATCCCGGCTCCCAGCAGCGGCGGTGGCTCAACGTTCACGAGAATGTCTCCTTCACCCTCATGCAGGAAATGCACATTCCCGTGCCCGTCTTCGGCGTCAGCAAGACCCCCGAAGACGCATACAATGTCGCTCAGCGCCTCTCCGTTAGTTTTCTTGCATTTAGTACTGCCGGCGTTCCGAAACTGTTCTCAGTCGAGCTAAGGGCATGGCGTGCCTGGCTTCAGGCTTGCAGCTACATTTGCAACGAGTGGTTATCGAGCGATCCTGAACATTTTGTCAAGACCAAACCATCCATTATGTCAACTAGGTTTTTTTTCAAAATTTTCTTCTCACAATTTCAAGTCATGATTTGTAATGTCTATTCGGTTTCAGCAAAGTCCGAGATAACCGTACATTTTCGCATGGGAGTGCATCGTATTTGTCTGGTACGAGGTTCCCCTTGTGAGAATGAGTTTCAGGTTTTCAAAAAGAAGTAAAGGTCACTTCAGTTTTGCTAGCAGTGCACAAATTGTTCTAAAACATAGTTGTTCATATTCCACATCTTGTGCAGTTCCCTCAGCAAGGCCTTTCGGCCCCGTCCACAGGGCACGTGTGGTCCCCTTGTGGCTGCCCTGGTTCACCTCTATTGCCACATGCTTTCCTTTTAGCCTAGCTTAGTTCTCAGACTGGGAGAGAGAAACTGATGCCCTTTTTGTGAGAGTAAATATAATTTTCATACAACTTACCATATCGTTATATTTTTAATACAGTCTTGAGCGCTTCATGGGAAAATTATCAGATGAGTTAATTTGAAATGTAATTGGTAATTTTTGGAAACAAAGAAGGCATGTCCTTTGTCAATTGGTACATCACCTTCTGGGGTTATTTATCAGGGCATGTTGCACCCACTATATAGAGAGCAATGGACCTCAGCTCAGGCATTCTTGGCTGGAATTGGGTATCAGCAGAGTTAGATATTTTAATTGCGCTGCTGTCTAGCATAAAGTGAATGGGACCTAGGCATGTTGGCAAGTGCTGAGATGATCTGGGAGGCCTATTCTCTAGCCATTTAGGCTGTAGTTATAAGACTGATGGTTTGGGGCATTTTCTTCATTCTTCAGTGGTGGCCTGTGAGGGAAGTCTGTCGTGCGCATTGTACGTTTGGGTCTGTCGCTGCGGTTCCGGCAGGATCCGCTCTTTTTCCCAAAGTGCCGTTTAGAAGGCAAGAATGATGTAAACTTTTAGAGAAAGAAGAGCTTTGTTTCGTTCGTGTGTGTGCGTGTCACTATCGGGAAGCAGGTTTTGTTGTGTGGAGTGCTTTGTAGGGAAACTTTGACTGCTAGGGGATTGCAATGACATTTGGCTATAGGAGCTCTAAGGTTGTCAGTGGAAGGGCCTAGATGTCCACTGTGTGATTAAAAATAATTGCCATGTGGAGTTGTCACTTCTTTATTGCATTGCTTTTGCATCTTGACTGTGTTATGTGCCTTTTATGGCCAGGGTATTTGGATGAGCTTATTAGAGTTATAATTGGGCCATAATTCAAGACAACTTTTAACAGCATTGGATAGTTTATGACTGGTGTTTGCTTGGCTCTCCTGTCATGTTTGCACCTACTGTTCATCTGTGGGAGAGTCGTTTCATTGTCATGGAGCATTTGAGGCCCCAAAAATTTATTCTTGTTTCCCACGGATGAAAGTCTCTCTCATCCATTCTGACTGAAATATGCAGTGATGATGTACCATAGTTTTGTCAAGCAGATCCTGTGGTGCTTTTTATCTTTCTTTATCATAATTGCTGGAAATGCCTGTACTTTTTGGAGGCCATCATGATCGTTTCTAATGCATGAAATGTTGTCTCTCTTTTTTATTTTGAGTTGATCATTGTAGAAATGCTTTTTGCATGGCTTCATTATTAGAAGACCAATGATGATATGTATCCATTTATTTTTACTGTTTCCATTTTCTGTGCAAAATTTTTCCTTGAGTTTCTCTGGTAATGTGTCATTTGGTGTAAAATGTGAGCCTCTTCATAAACTTAGAATGTAGTATCCTGATATTCTTGCTAATGAGTATTCAAATAACGATAACACTCAACTTCAAATAATCAAATAGATTGTGCATGCTTCTTCATGCAGACATTGTGGTCTTCGTGCTTAGCTTCTGCAGACTAACCTGACCTCAGTAGTAAATTAATGTACTCTTCTAGAATGGTAACAATGAAAAGCCATGCTTTTTAATGTTTTTGCTTCTATGCTTGATCTAAAACACACAAAAAAATGAACCTGCTCTTGTTCTCCCTTCTTCTGCACTCAACTTGGCGTGACTGGGGGATGCGGAGCTTGCGAGCTTCAAAATCCCCGACCTCCTGCCCTGAAGGCATTCTGTTCCTATCCCCCCATGTGCCGAGGTGAGTCCCACACGATGCCAGTCCATCGCACAGCTCCAAGTCTGTCTCACCTCACGTCCCACCTGCCTGCCCTTAACGCAATCTTGCACCTTTCGCACCTTCTCGTTTCTCTCTCTGTTTAGTACGTCCCTTATCTCTTCCTTTCGCTTTGAAATTTTCTCCTCTAAATCATCAAAGAGACACGTATGAGGAAGGGCATGTTGAAGTAATGGTTGAGTCTTTTAAAGTGAAAGGCTTTAGGGGTAATTGGCTAGGGTTATTGGTTAAGGTGGAAGCAAATGTGTCTTTCATTTCTTTCTACCTTCCCCTCTCAGGGTTGTGGAGATTCTATGGATGCCTTCTTTCCTGATACTATCGGAATCAATGGATGAGAAATATGTTTCATTTAGTTTTGTAAATTTATACCATAGCCCTTCCATGCTATTTTCCCATCATGAGAGCAAGCATATCATCAACATTGCAGGTCACAATTTCCTCAGGGAATCTGAATTTTAAAAACAACTCTACAAGCATTGTGTATTACTTTCAGTAAAAAAGTTGACTTTGCTGAAAATTTTAGTTTTGAACATAGAAACATGTAATCCTCACTTGATATAGTGTTGAGGGGAAAAGCTACTGGCAAAGTGAATCAGGAAGATTCTTGAAGGTGGTAGTCATAGTTTTTTGTGAGGGACTATGTAAATGAAGATCATGGTGATGACATCCCCTGTGAAAGGATATGATGATTTTCATTCAAATACAGCTTGGGAGCTTGGGATTCCTGGAATGATGACTGAAAGGGAAAGGAAAGCATCCATTGGATCCATGTAGGCTCCTGATGGCTGATAGGCATCAGTGCCAGGCATCTTTTTGAGGAGTTTCTCCTTATTCTTGCAAATTTTAATTTTTTGTTGAAATTTTTTTTTTCCATCAACTTAAAGCTTTGTGTAGAAATTTGCATAATTCTGAGTTTCTTTTCTCATCAAAGTTTCTCCTAACATTTCTCAGTGAGCCACCGTAGGACTGGGTTTCAGCATGCTGGCATCATCGCTGACAAGTAACATGACTATGAGTGAGAAAGAGGATCTTGCAATTATGGGGTCTCTTCATATGTGCACAACAAAGTGGCAACTTCTTCCAGTAGCCATAGGGTCTAGTCTTGGCTCTTTGATGCATCTTGACATAACCTTGCCTGTAGATCATGTATCATTATTGCCAATAATTCCTCCACATGGGAAAAGTTCAGTCTACTTTTTCAGGAAGATTATCACTCAAGGAATTTCAATGTTTGCTGGTCATTTTTCATAGGTTGTTCATCAAGATAAGAAGCTGCTTACAGATAAAAAATTTTTTCTTTAAGTTGCCCTTCATAAATTTCCTCTGTAAAAATTTTTCTTAAAAGATTCTCAGTGATTATTATTCAAATTAGAAATGGAAAAGTTTTGTAGGTTTTTGTGGGAATGGCTCTTCTATAATATTATTTTTTTACCTTGCATGATATCGTTCTTTATATTTTTAGGCCTGTGGTGAGTCGTAAACATTGATTTTTGCAGGTATCACAAGAACACACACTACACACTCCTTTGAATGAAAGGTCAGACTGTGATGAGGCTGTGCAATCTACTGGTAGCATTTAAAATGACATACGATAATCCATAATTCTATATGGTACGTCTCTGAAGAATTATTGAAGTGAGCACCAGATTATGCAGCAATCACTTCTACCTATTCTGCAGTTTGTTCATGGATTATCTTGGCTTGTATATATTCCTAATTGGACTTATTTCACTTCCTCCTTGTTCCAAGAGATATATAGGGGTCCCTTGTTTTAAAGTAACCTAAACTTATTCATTTATCATAGATGGTACGATTAAGTCAAAATTTAGTGATCACTAATCCCATAGAGAAGGTTCAACTGCATTTTGAAATTTGCCTTGTATGCCAGTGAATTGCTTGCATCTCTGAATGGAAGAAAGGTCTTCTTTTTATATGCTGATTTTTTGCATGTAATCATGAATTTATATCACAAACAGCATTGGCAAGATGATATTTCAGTGAATCTTATTTATAATTCATTTACTGCATGTCTAGGTTTTTTAAATATCATTTTTGTTATTGAAATGTTTCAACTGGACATATGGAAGGTATTGACTTTTTTTCATTCCTTAAATGCTATATTTACAGCCATACCAGTGAGGTCCAGGTCATGCCCTTGGCAGCAACCTTGGCAGTAATCTGTCCAGAGGTGTAGTGAAGGTGCCTTTCTATTGCAGAAGGAGTCTGGCTGCACGGACTTTGTGGTGAAGGCACAGGTCCTGACCGGAGGGAGGGGGAAGGGGTCGTGGAGGAACGGCATGAAAGGGGGCGTCAAGCTCGTCTTCTCGTGAGTTTGGTTTTTTTTCCTCCAGTGATTCCAAGGGGTAGGTTTCTACACACTAAAACCTGCTGAAAGATGACTTTATTTTGTATTATTCAATGCCAAGGAATCCTAGAATTTGGGTGGGTTGGGGATGGGACTTGGTTGGATCAAACTCTTGAAACGGGAGCTCTCTGCTAGAAATTTGTGTGCTGGGATCACTAAATGTTTCAGGGGGATAGATATGACTAATCTTATGAAGTATGATTTAATGGCATGAGCCCATTTTGTTCCCAGTAATTCATGGTATCCATCCAGTATCTGTATATTTATTTATAAGGAAACAAAAAAAAGTATGACTTTGTGAATAAACACAACTTTTATTCATAGAAACCATGACCATTCAACAAAGAATCATGAATTAGTCATCAATTTTAGTGTTCTTCCACTCCAGATATCTTCACAACAAAACATGGATTCTTCATATGGACAAAATCATACATTTGATTATCTTTCAATCATGTGGAAAGGCATATCATGTAATTTAATCAATGATTTCCTTCTATATCTTGTGATATGTATTTGTGGTCACAGGGGAAACTAATGCCGTAATCCTAGAAATAGGGGATGTATAAAAAATGCATAACCATTACTACTTGTTTGCTAATGTTTTTATACTGGCAATATTCATAACCAGCTAGTATGTCAGTAAACACAAGTAGAGTGAAGGCTGAATTTGTGGAAGTCACATATATTTCAGTGAAGTTCATGGTTTTTTCCATGAGAGTGAGTTAGGGCAAAAGAAAGTCAACTCTTCTCTTCTACTTTTGAAAAAAGAAAGGAAATTTGTTAAGTAAGATAGTCTTACTTGAATGAACCCCTTTTGGCCTTAAGTTGCATCAACTATGTCTTTGTCAAAATGGTGTGACCAATTCATTTTTCACTTTCTATATTTACTATAGAATGAAAAGAAAATTAATGGAATCATGATTTTGATTTGATCAGGCCAGATGAAGTGAAGGACATAGCCTCAAAGATGTTGGGGGAGATATTGGTCACAAAGCAGACCGGGGATAAGGGCCTTCCCTGCCATGAGGTTCTAATCTGTGAGCGCAAGTACCAGCGCAAGGAGTATTACTTTGCCATCATCATGGAGCGAGCATTTCATGTAAGCATTGGAGCTTGTGAGCATTTCATTGCATCTGAATATTCTGTTCCATTATGTTTTGCATTAGGTGTACCTACATTACTTGAATTTCAGTATGCTTTGATATATTCTGGAAATTTACTGAGGTCTTTTAAATTGCATCAAATAATTTCATTTTCAGAACCTTTTTTCCATTATCAAGAGTCGAGAATGGCTACCTGGTCAGAGTGCTATTGCATCTGGCATATCCTATTGAAGTTTGAGCATTTGGTGACTCCACTAAGAATTCATGCAATTGCAGTGGTCTTGAAATGGAAGCTACTTGAAATAACACTTGAATTGTGAAGGGACCTGTGCTGGTGGCATCCCCAATGGGAGGGGTGAACATTGAGGATGTGGCCAAGGAGCACCCTGAGATGATCTTCAAGGAGCCGGTGGACATCCTCACGGGGCTGAGCATGGAGCAGGCCCTCGCCATGGCCCATCGCCTCGGCATCGAAACCGACAAAGTTGAGGTCGCTGCCGACATCATCGTGAAGCTGTACAACATGTTCATCAAGTACGACATGACCCTCCTCGAGATCAATCCCTTCGCTGAAGACACTACTGGAAAGAGTATGTTGAATCATTGTGATTGTTGTGGATTAAATTAATCATTTTAAAGTTTTTTTCATGCATCATTTTAAGCACCTTCTTTGAACCACATTTTTCATCAAAACTACTTCAGATATACCAACTGGTTGTTGTTTTCTTAAGTAAAAAAAAAGCATTCAGGGATTACCTGATATTTACAAAGATGTTGCTTTCACATCCAGACAGCCCTTTCAGAAATTATTTTCACCTCTCCACATCACATGGTTTGCTGATCTGAGACAACAGACTATTGGAAAGGAAGATGCTGGGTGTCTATATATTGACTAACTAATAGCAACATAATTTATATTTTTGAATCTGAGGTTATTCTGAGTTTTCTGTATGTAGACCTACCTTTCAATGATCTCATATCTTACCCTGTTTCATTTTAATCTCAGAGTATTGATTTCTCTGACCCTTGTATGAATATATATATTTAGCCCTTTGGGGTCCAAGTATTTTGAATGTGTCTTCTACATCATTCAAGTTTTTTCTATCTTTCCTCATGAGGCCAACACGAGATACCGTTTTCATGGACCCCAAAAGGTTAAACAAACCTACATGGTGCTTCAAAGTTTCCTTTGTTGCTTGCCACAATTAAATTATTAGTTAAAATAAAAAATCGACAGGCATATTCCTCAATGCTTCATTTGTGGAAAGAGATGGATCTAATTTATTGTAGTAATTTTTTTAATTAATGGTTTTCTTAGACGAAGATCCAATGATCTAATGACCCTGAGCTGTAACTCTTATACAGTCGAACTCAGTTATAACGACAAAAGCGCCAGGTCCCGCCATAGAGCCCATAAGGCATGTTACATTTTACTTCGGTTATAACGAAGTCCATTGAAGGTCCACAGGCGAAATTGACCACGTTTATGTCCCTAATCCATCATTCTTAACTGAAGTTTTCGTCATTGGAAAAATTACCGTTTGTGAGCCATAACTTTATATTTCCTGGATTTGGCATTCCTTGAGAGTCATGTGGCTGTTGCTGGAGCAATGTTAGGGAGGGATAATCCCCAGTAACTAAGATCACCTAATCTTCAGTCGCCATTTGCATTTCTCGTTGACAACATGGCCAACCAAAAACGAAACAGGCAAGCCTTCGCGATTGAAAGGAAAGTGTGCTTGATTAATTTAATAGAAGGAGCTCAAAGTGAAGCTAACGTCGCTCATAAACATAGACATCTCTTCCCACAATTTGGGAAAATTGTGACAGCTTCATCTGTGCTTACGAGAACATGTCACAAAACAAGAAACTTCCTAGGTCTGTTGAGATGACATCAACGAAGCCTTGCTAAAATATAAAGTAGTGTAAGGTCCAAAGAAGTGCGAACATCACGATTAGTGGGTCAATCTTGAAACCGAAGCTAGTGTAGTATGACCAATGTAAACTGGAGTTGTACTGTTATATAACATCAATTTTGACAACAGGAAAACGGAGTGCCAATTAAGGCAACCTCGGTTATAATGAACGTCAGTTATAACGACTGTTTTTACCTGGCCCCTTCGATGACGTTATAACTGAGTTCAACTGTATGTAGAGGTTCATCAATCTGTTGGTGCAAAACTTTTGCAAATATCCAGCTTGCTTCTCCTTTTTGGGAATAAGCCCTGGCCATTAAGGGTTTTCCACAAAGTGGGCAAGGGTGTCTCAGGAATCAATTTTCTAGCTGATCTGTAAGAGAAGGGTCACTAAGACTTATGCCTCTTGGCCACTGAGAGATCTGCTGATCGACTGACTCCTTGAAGGTTTGGAAATTTATCACACCAGTCTTCTCAATTTTAATTCCCTTTCAGCAGACCCTTGTTTTTAGTATGTTAAAAAAAAATTAATCAAAGCTATATTTAATCGACGAATTATATGAAAATTTGCTGGTCACCATCAAAGACATCAGTCTTGCCTTGGTTGGTTGGTCTTGCCTTGGTTAATGGTCCACCCACCCTCCTGGACCAGAGGCCCTTAGGGATGAACAGCTTTGCCACTTGGATCACTGGCTTGCCTGCCTGACATCAAGTGTTTTCTGCAGGGAGTCCTACTATGCAAGAATTAGCCTTACATTTTCTAATGTCCTTCCCTTGTTCATTTGATCTCTTTACAATGCACTTTTCAGGTATCCTCTTGAAAAATGAACATAAATTGGTGCAAGTAACCCAGTTAGTATCAGTGTGCATCAATACCTCATGACATTTGCACAAAAATTGTGTAATTCCTCTTACCCATGAAATTGGTTTCAGCTATTGATCCTGTGGAATCTTATCTTGAAGCCAGTGAAGGGAGCTAAGCAGAATTCTCAATTTTTGTAAGGTAGTGTTTTATGGCTAACTGCCATATTCATGAAACTGAAAATGGGAGTAAAAGAGGTGTGAAGGAGATATAAGAAGAATTGGTGAAATCATGTTAGAATCCACTGGTATGGCTCCTCAGAAACTACATTAAGTGTACATTATTCTAAAATGGTGGAAGGGAGGACATGTTGTTTTTCTTTTTATTAGGATGATTTCTTTTCCAGTTTTCCCTTTTTGGAAAAGGAATAAGCCTGATGCCATTGCCCAGATGTATTTGTATTTAGTGTTAATGTCTGATACACATGCATTAATTATTCTGTCCTGTTAAATTGTAATACAATCACTATTTTGTTCCTGGAACTTCCAAACAGAGAATTTGACATTTTGGGGGTTTTCGAATATCATGAAGTAACAAACCTTGAATACATTTGAGGTATGGAAACTCTCTTAGAGCAGCATTTAGCTGAAGGATGCTCATCCCTCTGCTACACCTTCCAGCCATACCTGGTATGCACTGTCTCCAGGCATCCTCCCATCTATTTCTATATTCTGTATGATTTCTTTGACTGAATCCTAGGTGTAATTCCAGTGTGCTGACGGATGCTTAATGCTGGACTGAGCTTGGTCCAGCTTGTTGTTCTTTTTCACGTTTGACTTCATACATATGACAGATTTTCTGGTTGCGGCGTTGCAGTGTATTGTCTGGATGCAAAGCTGAGGTTTGATGACAATGCTGAGTTCCGGCAGAAGAAAGTTTTCTCCCAAAGGGATGTGACTCAGGAAGATCCGAGGGAGGTTGCTGCCTCGCACCAAAACCTCAACTACATCACCCTGGGTGGTGCGTCAATTGCTTAAATCAATTTGCATTCCTTCCTAGTCTGCTGGATTGTCAAAAGCCAATGGTGAAAGGAACAGTAAACTGTTCCTTTCACCATTGTCATGTGTCCATTTCCTGTAAATTTCAGACAAGTGATGTCAGCAATCAGGCCACGATCATGGTGGATGTGGCTTATCCAATGCCATTATGCATTTCTTGATTTCATGATAGAAAAAAGTGAACTTCTATTTCCACTGGAATCCCCGAGACAGTGCCGATTTTAATTGGGGTATCTGGGAAAGGACTTGATAATTCCTTTATATTAGGTGACTTAAGTCACATTCTTTTCTATTGTTGATGAATATATGCCCTGTAGTAGTAAACGGTATAATGTAAAGGGATTTAGAGGGGCTTATTTGTGTCATGTTCACTATAAGAGGCCTCCAAATTAAGTGGTGATTTTTGTTTCTATTGTAGCATTCCCATTCTATGTCATGGTGGGAAGCCCTGTAATTGCTTGAGTCTATTATTTTCTGCCTTTACTGTAGTCATAATGTTGTGCCTTATCAAAAGTATTCAGATTTGTCTGCAATCCACTAAGTAGCAACAATCTTACACTAACAAATTCAATTTTTAAATTCAGCATGCAAATTTACAAATTCTTTTTTCTAATGCTTGGTATGGGATGAAAATGTTTATAGCTGAGGCTTTGTTGTCCAGTGTTTAATCTACATGGTGGGTATGCAGGTGATATTGGGTGCATGGTGAATGGAGCAGGCCTCGCCATGGCAACGATGGACATCATTAAGCTGCACGGGGGGGAGCCGGCCAACTTTCTTGACGTCGGTGGAGGGGCTACTGCAACCCAGGTCAAGGAAGCCTTCAAGATCATCACTGCTGACCCCAATGTCTGTGCTTCTTTATCATTTCTTTAAGACTTGATTTCGTCATAACTTCTTTTGGTGAAGAAAGGAATGAAATCAATTTTTTGTTGTTAAAAAATACATTCTTACATTTTTGCAGCTTTTTTGACTGATGGGAAAAAAGTTTTTCAAGATATGGCAATTTGTATCTTGTAATTGCTTAATTGCTTGGAATTATGCCTCTGAATGAAACTATTGTTAGTTAGTTTTCCTGTGTTAGTTTTCCATATGTTTCTTGTTCAACTAATCATTCTCTCTTATTGCAAATCTTATACATTTTTTTAAGAAGTAAAAATATTTAAATTGTTAAAAGACTCAATATGGAAAAGTGTTGCTGCGATGCTTCAGGATGTGTATGCTTCAATTTGAAACTTAAATGGATTTAAAACTGGATGTGGTTTTAGGCTTTTAGATTCTGTATAAGTTAACTTCAAGAGGATATGAGTTTTGCATTATTATTTGCACAACTGCTCTTAGAGCTCAAAAAGTGACTTTTGGAAAGGGGCCAGAAACCCTGTTGTTAACACCAATCTCTTGCAGGAGTTCCTTTTTGTTCAATGACCTTTTATGTATGTGGCATGCCCTTTACAAAAGAGGATATGAGATGGGGTGGAATAGAGTGTAAAATTGGGGGTATAGAAATTGTTGATGGTTGGTTGGAGTTGGAGTGAAGTCTTGGGGTTGGAATAGTGGAATGAAGATCGTGGAGTTGGGTGGGACTGCGGCCAGCCACCAGGAGGTGTTGTCAGGCCAGTCAGGAGTTCTTGTTCATATCTTTTTAATATGTGCATCCAAGCTTCATGAAAATTTGACAAACTATTGAACATGCACTGGGTGTATGGTAAGGAACTCCCTATTTTGCAATGCTGATAAATATTTTATTTTTTAATAAAATTTTATGAAACAAACTGTGAATTATGCAACAGTTAATAGGGTTTTATTTATCCACTCTTCACACTTCCATCTGTGCTCCTTCATTGTCAACACATTTCCATAAGCAAACAGGTATGTTTCCCACTCTTGATCGTAACATGAGGTACGTTCTTAAGAACATTGTTGATTCTTTCTTCCAGTTCATCAAGCAGCAAAATTGGTTGTTGGAAAGTTTCATGTATCTAGGTTGTTGGAGTAGAAATTGACAGTTGTTCAAAGTGGAATCAATTTGCAGCCCTTACACCTTGTGGCACCTTGTAACTTTTTTATGTGGGAATGGGCTAAAGAGGCAGTTCATTGTACCAAGCAAGAATCTTGGAAGAAAGAATCAACATTGTTCTTAACAACTTACCTTGACACATGTTACGATCAAGAGTGGGAAACATACCTGTTTGCCTAAGGAAATGACAATGAAGGAACACACACGGATGTGTGAAGTGTGGACGAATAAAAACCCCATTAACTGTTGCTTAATTCACAGTTTGTTTCATTGAATTTCATTTTAAAATAAATGAGTTATGAGCATTTCAAAATAGGGAGTTACTCATCATGCACCCTACATTCTTAATAGGTACCTTGAAATGGAGCTAAGCCATATATGATTCTTTCAAATCCTTCCAAGGAAGGACTATGATTGTTTGCAATTGAATGAAGAAGCATTCTGTCTTGTCTTTGAAGGTGCATGCAATCCTGGTCAACATATTCGGTGGTATCATGAGGTGTGATGTCATTGCAGAAGGAATCGTCGCTGCTGCCCACGAACTCCAACTCACTTTGCCCATTGTTGTCCGGTTACAGGTTTGTAACTTCCTCTGAATTCACATCTTGTTTTTGTATTAGTTCAGTAAATGCTTTATCCAGTTTGCTTTGCAAAGCCTTCAAAAGTGCTTGTGGCCAGCAAAAATCATTTTGCATCATAGAAGTAACATGCAGGTTTTAATTTAATTTACAAAGTACTTGTGAATGAGTTTTCATGTTTCATGTTTTTTTTAAATATATGTTGTATCAATTCTGAGACTTTGATATTGGAGTATTTCACTATATGACAAAGTTCTTGTATAATCTGTCCTGTGAGAGGTGAAACTATGTATATCATAAAGATTCTATAATATACCTGGAAAAGTACTGGAACCTGAGGCTCCATGTTACCTCTTTGTAGTCACCTATCATAGTTCCAAGTATCTGTTTATACTGTCCAGAGCTCATTTGGCTTTTAATGGCCAGAAGCTATTTCACCTCTCTGTCCATGACACCCAGTTTTTCGTTGCTTCTTTTGTATCAAATACATAGCAACCATGACCAATTTCCCATTCTGGGATCATTTTTCAGGGTACTAAAGTGGAGGACGCCAAGGCTCTGATTGCAGCTTCAAGGCTACGAATCCTTGCCTGCGACAACCTGGACGAGGCCGCGCGGATGGTAGTGAAGCTCTCACACATTGTGACCCTTGCCAAGGATGTCCAGGTCGATGTCAAGTTTGAACTCCCACTTTGAACATTTTTTCCCAGCTTTCTCCTTCATGGGTGCATTGTCAGATTGCTCTGTCTGTAGTCAAGTTGGCCTCATAGATCATAGGTCATTGCAGGGGCCAACTTGATTCTGGACAGAGTCTCTATTTTTAATGTTTTGGACTTTAGCACCCATCCCATTCACCTTGTAGTAGGTCAGTGGTTGAATTTGTGCTTTTAGGCCTGGGAACCTGAGATGGTCCTATAGATCAAAGGTCTTTCTGGTACACTTCCATTTGTAACTGCCTTGCCGAACCTCCCCCCTAATTGCCATGGCATTGAGGCCTGCTGTGGATTTTCAGGAATTTCATAATGCTAGCCATATTGTCGTCAATAAATTATATGTGTATACGTGAAGTTTGTCGTGCTTTTTCCTTGCATTTTATTTATCTATGCATTGTCTTTATTTGCACTTAATCTACATTCTGAAATGGGGATCAGATGATCATCCCGAATTAAGGAAATTGGTTGAGTTAGCTGGCACCATTGTATTCCACACAGTTTTATAATGGTGCTGAAGTGGAATTGACGAATGATCGGTTAGGTTAGTGTAGAAGTCTGTGCGTTTTGCGTGTGTATTGGTGCGTTTGGACACTAGAAGACAGCCTTCCCTCTATACAGAGTACCATTGTCTGTATATGTTCAATTGCTTTGCTTGTGATACAAAGGTGTTGCAAGCATTGCTAAGACCTGCTTTCTCACTCCATGCTATCAGCGTATTATTATAATTTGTGAAAGGAATCATGCAAACAAGGGTTTCTGTGATCATCCACTTTCACGAGTGAAAATGGTTTCCTGGGAAGAGACTCCTTCGATGAACCATGATTTAAAACATGCTGTAAAATCCGAACAAAAGGCAAAGGCATGGCGTTTCAGAAATTGGGTGTCCCTAATTCATCATTAATTTCTGTAGCCCGAACCTACAGGGATGTCCGTATTGTTGGTGTTGCCGATTTATCATAACTTAAAATATTATTTGAAATGCTAGTTGGAGCGGTAATGAGAGACAGCATGGAACAACAGTAAGAACATCAATCTCAAGTCGTTACCGTCTCACACAGACCACTCCGCTGGTACTCATGCTTTGGCGTTGAGAACATTTTGAAAAGGGTTAAAAAAGATTCCTCACCGATTCAACCTTCGATATTATGCTACTGTTGGCTTTGGGGCTATATCAAAGAATCAGTGGCTACACGGTATCGAATTCTCTGATATATTAAATGGATCCGAAGCCTGAATCCATACTTTATTCAATGCACTAGTTTTTCCATAGACGACGGTGGCAGCATGTTTCTCCACCATCGCGCGATCGTCGCTCCACATATTGTTCCGTGTGCTGTGATGATCGCCCAACCATCGCGGCGCATTGCTCCTCAGTTCAATTTTTCGTCGGCAAATATTGCCGTCGCCCAACGGTTGCTCTGTGTGCGACGGTCGAGAAAAAAAAACGATGTAGACTTCATAGGGGGGAAAGTCAGTGCAAATGACGGTGGTGGAAGATGGCGGATAACGTGGCTACACAAATGGCAAACTCACGAGTCAGATTTGACTCGTTAACCATAAGCGACGAGGGTCGATTATCGACCCTCATTTTCACCGTATCTCCGATACAGCGACCACCGCGACTCTTTAACGCTTTCCAGACATCGCAGCTGGAGTCCCCCTCGCTTAGTGGCTCCCCCTTTTTTTGTCATTTGACTGCCAACGGGCTGTCTCGAAAGTAGCACGATAACGCATCTCGTGAAAGGGGCATCGAATTACAAATTTGATTACAAATGGATACTATGAAGTTCTTTTCTCCCGTTTTTCACATTTCCCTTTGATGAAGAAACTTCTTTCTTCTCACGTTTGTTTCGTCTAAATAGCCTTCAACAAGCGATTTTCTGCAAAACGAGTCCCTTTTGCTATATCAATATTCGGCGTACAAAGAAGCCTTTGAAAATTTTTTATGAAGCTCTGAAAAATTGCGTCATTCGTCGTTATAATGTAACCATAGATACCTGTCTCATCAAAGTCTCTTCCCGATTATTGATCATTGTGAAACAGTGAATAATATTACTCCCCCCCCATGTGTAACTTATGAGTCCTGAAATTCTGAATATCTTTTCCCTTTGAGGTGTCGAAGACAGATCAGTCAGGTCAGTAAATCTAGAAATTTGGGAGCAATATTTCGTTCATTCAAGGCAGAAAGGTATCCGTGATTAGTGCATGATAAAGCCCTGTCACAAATGAATTGGATACCACGAAAGGCTCTCAGTGTAGATAGAAGCTCGGTTCTTCAAGCTCTCCAGAGACGGCACTAGAGTAAGGTGGTCATCACAAGCGTGAAGGTGTATTCTGCAACAGAAAACACACCCCCTACAGCTTCCTTTGAACCTTAGGATGCGTCTCATGGTCGAGGTCACTCATTGCTTATTACGCTTGATAGATTTTTGGGAGGAAAAAGATTAAACCGCTCAGGGTCATATTCGCGGGCTTAGTCAGTATATTATCTGAATCAAATAAAAGATGGTTCATCGCCTGAAGTGACACTGATACATGATTTATGGTTAGTAATATTCCCCGTACGACAAACCAAGCCCTTCATTTCCCTTGTAACACACAGACGTACAATTCAAATACGCCCAACAGAAGAAAACTATAGAACGCAGAATAGAACGGTAACTCACAAGACTGAGGCTGCCAGAGGACTGAGCAAAGGAATGGCATTTCCAGCGCCTTTTTATGCCCGTTCTGGTCGCCTGGGGCTGGAGTCCTCGACCTTGTCTCTCTCCCCTCGCCTCCTCCCCCTCCACAGGTGATATCCATCTGCCCTTCGACACACCCCCAGAAATTTCCAACGGACGTAACTGATCCACTTTCACCTGTTCCATGCACACTCTGATTTTCATGCATTCAATACTCTAGAGATGTTCTCGACCATGAGAAGCAAAAACCCCTCACGTGAGAATGAAACTCATGGATGCTCAATCCTTAGCATATAAGACAATGCGGTGACGACGTATTGACAGGACAATGATGGATTCCACCAGGATAATTATTTGGTGCATGTTTTTTTTTAAATTAATTAAACTGCTAACATCCGTTCTGAATCCAATGGACCCTGAAACAAAAATTAAGCCGTTTGCATAGCTTATAAAATGCTATATTTTAGGCTCAATATTTTGAAAATATCATTCGAGATTGAAGAGATGAAACAAAGTTTAACATTCAAGTTTCGGTATACTGCAGTTGAAGGAATTCATGAGACCCTGACGCAGTAGTTAAAGGGAAAAACTGCCGCTAAGTCATTGAATTCCTCTTCTTTCAAGCTCTATTCAATATTATCGTATGTTAAAGCTAAAGAAAACAAATGAGGAAATGAAATCCAACACTGGCACAATATGACCCATGAGCTTATTTACGAGGCTGAAATGAAACTTTCATTTCAACATTGTGGCAAATTTTGAATTCCCTTTTTACCCAATGTCCTGGCAATATTCCAACCTTGAATATTCAAAACCCTCTCAACGTTAGCCGACGGTTGTTGCGCTGAATAGAACAGAGAAGTTACCTTTCAACGTACGAAGCAGCCGATCGAAGAAGTTCCATTCATCGAGCATATCGAGAAGACCATCTCCTTGGAGAAGAAGAAACCCTTCACGTACGAATGAAACTCATGAATGCCTCGCACTCTTCCCATGAAAATTATATGGACCTAATGGGGAGGAAAGCTCTTTGATAAGTGTTCTGTTGTCACTCACTGTTGCCATAGAAACGCTTGTAGCTCGATGGGATAATTTAAAATCGAAAGAAAGAACTACTTCGATATTCTGCAGAGGGAACTGACGTTCAATATGGCAGAAGCCAAGCGAAAGAGATCGGAATCGGACTAGATAACAGGTTGATGAGGAGCCTTTCGTCGCCCGATGAGAACACGTCAGCGGGTAAGTGCAGGGAGAAATACAGAGATGAAGAGATATATACAGTAGTTACAAATGTACAGAGAGGAGTGCAGTCCGAATCCATTCCTCGAAGAGGGGTATCTCAGTCGCAATCTTGCATTCGACGCTTAAGATGAGCTCGAAGGAAGTTCCTTCGGATGTGAAGAGAAGCAGGATTCTGACCTGTCTCGTCTATTCCTGCGCCGTTCTCCTCACTGCGGTTCAGGTGAGAATCCTCTTTCGCACCTTTGGAAGGAGGTATTACGTCGATGTCCTCGCACCACCAGGCTATGGAGTACTTGCTGCGATACCAGAAGACACCGACGATGACAACCTATCGAATGGAGGAGCGAAATAGTTTCACCGCGCCCAAGCTCACCGTCTGTCGCACGCCGTCGTTCAGGAAAGACAAGGAGGCACAAGGGGCCAACATCTATAAATTCAACTTCCCCTCCTTCGCGGAACGTTTCGGATTCCATCCGAAGATGATTTTGACGGGATGTAAGATCAACAAGCGCTCCGAACTTTGTTTTCCAAATGGAAGCTCCTCTCGAGATGACGTCTTCCGCACCGAAGGCAAGTTGCGAGAGAAGAAAAAAGGCCGATAAAATGCCAACATGAAAATAATTTCACATTGCGCGACTTGTTAAATCATGTTTAAGGCATTTTTCCGGACGCAGCTTCAAAACTGTCGCTTCTGTTCATTGCAATTAGCTTCACGACCTGTGAGAAGTGATGAGTGGAAATACGGTTGCGTAGTATGAGAATGATTTTTTTTTCCTCAGACTAAAACAGCAATGCCAGAAATTTCCGGTTCATTCCACAAACGACTGAAAAATGTCGAGTACTCACGGTATGAAATAAAAAAGATTGCATCTGGAAACCTATGGGAGTCTTGTCGAGGATTCGAAAGGGTTGTCACGAAACACAAGGTACATTTAGAACTGCATTAATAACGGAGCGGCAGAATGGAATCACCTTAAATCCTGCACGCAGTTCCTGATGCCTTTGCGCAGCATCGCGCCTGTTCCACTGCAAAAGAAATCGGATAGCCGGGAACAGATCCCCGGACCCATCTAATCAGCGCGCAATCCGTCAAGGGAGGATGTCAAGAGTGCCGGGAGGATGTCAAGAGTGCCGGGAGGATGTGGATGGCGCCTCTGGGCGCTGATGCGACGGAGAACATGATCGGTCCCATCTCGTGCTCTCTGGCTGCTGCGGAGACATCGAGGGTGTTTCGTTTGGATGCTCTGCAGTTACTGCAATTTTTGGTTCACCGCTCACTTTTTTTCCGCGTGTAGTGCACATTCGCGACAAAAGTTAGACACTGGAATTGGATTTTCAATTTTCGACATGCCCCAGAAAAAGTATAAAAAAAATTCTCACTCGAGTCTGATCACCTCAAACCTCAGGAAGCAAAATTTGCTTAATTTATGTTGACTCTTTCTCGTCGTGTAGGCGGAGAGTGGCGTCAGGCGATCTTCTTCAACGAACACGAACAGAATATTTCAGGCTCAGCAGATGTTTCACATTCCACCCCAACGTTAGTCTGGGAGTCGGAAGCAAATTCGGCGGCTTCCATCTCAGTTTCGGGAATTCCCAAATCAAAGAAGACAACGGTACGGTGTCCTGGGAGATTCACATCCATCGAGACTTAGGATGGGCCACCATGAATCTCATGCCTTCTTACACCACGATCAGGATCAACCCAGGAATATTTAAATACGTAAAACTCTCGGCCAAAGAAGTCAATCAACTCAACGTTAAGGCTCATCCTTGCGAGT